CACATGCTGGGCTGGGCATGGTACATAGGGAGCCAGGCAGCAAGGAGGGTGGGAGGTGAATGGCTAGTCTCTTGGTGCTCTCAGAACAAGTCTTTGTCCCACCAATGTTCCCTCTTACCTACAATTTATTCCACACATGGGCTTGTGCAGGTGTGCACCACTAGTAGAGCATCCATCACATGCATTACTTCTGGGCAGCACCTGAATCTCTCCTGGGTGGCCCCCCAATTACTCAGCTTACAGGGAACCCTGCGTCTCACCCCCATGTACGACACAGGGCACCCAAGTCTTTCCCCATCCCTGTTCTCGTCCTCTGCTACCGGCTGGGTCGCCATGTACGACACACAGGGCACCCAAGTCTTTCCCCGTTCTCGTCCTCTGCTACCGGCTGGGTCTCTGATCCGATAGAGGCCTGTGGCACCAGTGTGACGTCCCTGCGGGGCTTGCCATTGTAAGTGTCCGGCTGTTAGTGGGATCAGGTACCCCCTGCCCTAGTGACCCAAGGGGAAGGGTGGCCTCTGACTGCATGGAGGGTAAAGGGGATGGGCAACTCTTCTACATGCAAATGAGTGGAAAGATCTTTGGCTTGGTCTCAGCAACTGGATCAGTGTGGCCAAGCCACAAACCACAGGGCTTCAGAGGCAGCTCCATATGCTTGTCAGCGGCCTGCGTGGATCTGCTTTGGGTGGGGGGTGTTGAAGGGACAAGTAAACAGTCTCTTTGTAGCACAGCTGTGGGCACTCGATGTTTCCTTAGCCCCTTCAGGGTTGCACCCACTTCTGGGGTGCAGCACCGTAGCTGGTCCTCCATGCGGCTGCGGGCACTCGGTGTTTCCTTAGCCCCTCCAGGGATGCGCCCACTTCTGGGGTGCAGCACCGTAGCTGGTCCTCCATGCACAGTAGGGCTGTATAAACAAACCCCCCCATCCTGAATAGTTTATGGTGCATTTTGAGGGCTCTGACTGGAGCTGGACTCTCCAAGGTGGGATGTGGGGGCACCCCCCACTGGGAGCCACTATTAGCTCTCCTGCTTGGTTGAGGGCTGGGCCTTGCAGTGTGGGGTTGCCTGGCGCCAGCCAGCGCCATTCCGCTTCCGAAAGGGGGAGGCTGCCAGCCATCCGGCACTGGCTTTGAACTCCCCTGCCTGGAGCCTCCTAACTCAAAATGGTACCTGCTGCAGCCATGTGGCCCACAGCCCAAGTGATGGGGAGACGCCTGCTTCCATGTGAGGTCGCCTGGCCGCCGACCAGCCAAACCAAACCCTCTGTTGTGGGGGGTTCTCCCCCAGGCTTGAGGCCACCACTGGGCTAGCTGAGCCACAGCCTTGCACCCTGCGCTGGGGCTCAGGTCTACAGGGCTTCCGGCATTTGGACCCTATGTGGGATGCCCTCTTGCTAGAGCAGGGGACTGGGACTTCAGGCAGGACTCCTCTTCTGAGCCACACCAGAGCTCCTGTGATTCTGGCCTTGACTCTGAGCTCTAAGAAGGCAGAATTTGCTGGAACTTGACTAGTTAACTACGTCCCATTAGCACTTTGCCCTTTAAGGGCCAGACTGTAAAGGGGAGTGCAGCAGCCTGAGGCGGGCAGGGGACAGTCACTGGTGTGTGTGGGGCTCAGTTTCCAAGGATCATTGGCTCTGCTCCCCCTAATGTGGGGCTGATGTGCCTGTCGCTAACACGCACTGCTGGAATAGCTGGGCCGGAAAGATTAGGCTGCCAGCGAACGTCCTCCTTGTAATCTTCATGGCTAAGATTCCAAATGTTCCCTTCCTGCCGGCTTTGTTTTGCAAGCCCCGTGCTCCTTGCATCACTCAGTGCCTTATAAGTCCCGGGTTTTAGAGCCGGCCGCTGCCTCGACATTCCATCAGGCTCGCGTCAAGTGCCCCAGCTGCATCTCATCCAGCGCTGACACAACTGCAGCACAGCAGCCATGTGCAGTGGCCGGATCGGAGAACAGGCTGGCCTAGCCTCACACAAGCCTTGCCCTGCTGCCTCATGAGCAGGGCGCTCAGCACCTTGTGCCTAAAGGGTGGCGTGGCCGACATTTAGAACCGCGCTCTGGGAGGCGGCGTTTCGCTGACAGCCCTCTGGGGCTAGCGGCCTGTATCTGTCTGCTCTGACCTCTGTCTGGCCTAGCCCCCTTGTGACATCCTACTTTGCATATGGACATGCTTCCAACTCTGTCTTAAAGGGTTAGTCTGTAACTGTAAACAGTCCTGTTGCACCTCTGAGCATGAGCATTCATGGGTTAAACCCACTTCATCAGATGAGTTGGAGCAGAAATGACAGAATCCAGAACGGGATGTATAACAGCAGAAGCTACCTGTTAATTGTAGGGCTGGTGTTAAGGTTAACATCAGGGTGGCGCGCGCTCTCTCTCTCTCTCTGGGTTGGATATGGAGATGCAAACATCAAGAGGGAAAATGGCCTTTGTAATGTGTTAACCAGTTCAGATCTTTATTCGAGCCTAAGTTGATAGTGTTGAATTTGTAAGAACTCTAGTTTGCTCTCTCTAACTGGGTGACAAAGTTCTCTTGTAGAAGGATGGCTACTCTTAAAATCCAGTATTGAACAGCCAGGGAGGCTAAAATGTTCCTCTACAGGCTTGTTACCATTTGACTATCAGTTTGGGGAGTGAGCGGGTGTCATTGATTGCTGAAATTCAGAATCGCTTTAGCGATTCAAACGTCGACCTTGCAATCTGGCCTCTCTGAGGCTGTTCCTAGTTCAGGCAGTGCTTTCTCTGGGTACAGGGAAACACTTTCACCACCATCCACAAGGTGATAAACATCAATGCTTGCCTGGGCATCGCACCCTTCCAGCCTGAGGTAGGGCTTGTTGACAGGGCGGCTGCCTGTGGAGGTGCCCTGGTTTTAAGGCTTCCTAAAAAGACTGCTCCCAACCCAGGGGGAGAGTCTGCACAGCCTTGGTCCATGGGGCTCTGTCTGATCCCATGGGCTCCAAGAGCTTTTGAGGTAGGGGGGTGTGTGTGGGTGGGTGGGTGGGGGGGAGGGGTACAATAGGGTTCTCCAGTCTCAGCCTGCTGGTCTCTTAGCTGCCATGACAGGCAGCCACTCTGGCTGTTTGAGGAGAGGGCTGCCTGGGAGGGTGCCACAGATGGCTGTGGGGGAGGGGGAATGACTGCCTTGTCTGTACCAGGCTTGCTCCCACAGGGTCAGGCTCTCTGTCCCCTGGACTTTCAGGATTACCTAGAAAATCCTCCACTGCTGCTGAAATGGCTCCAAGGCTTTGTGGCTGGGCTGCTGCAGAACATCTCCCCTGCGCAGGCAGACACCATGTTCCAGGTCAGGGACCATGTTCCCCAAAGCTGCCCTGCAGCCATGTCCTGCTCTGAACCAGCCGGGGGCTCAGGGGCTCCCCCTGCAGACTAAAGCAGGTGAGGGCCCATGCTGGCCTGGGCCAGCAGAAGACTGAGCTGAGCCTGGATCGCTAAAGCCACACTGGCTCTGGGTAGGAACTGGCTCTGGGCAGAGGGAGGGGTAGAGATGAATGGCTTGCATGCCCAATGTTGGGTAGGAGACCACTTCCTGTGGTCCCATCTCTGGAACAGGGTGAAGTCCACCCCTCAGCCATGGGCAGGGTCTCCCTGGGGCTAAGCCTGTTGAGGGCCCCCTGCCCGTGTCCATCACTGGACCTAGGACTAGAGCTAGTGGAAATGGGTGACCGTCACGTCTTGCGTCTGCACGTTGCGGGCACACGTGGTACCTCGCTGGCTGGACATGCCAGCCATGGTGTTGTCTAGTCCCCGCCTGGCTGAGCGCTGGTGAGGTGATGAGTCTCGCTGCTTCCCCTCCAGGTGGATGGGGTGGGGAGAAGCTTGTGCGCTAGGGCTGGGCCGGAGCTGAGGCTGGTGGAGCGCCCCAGTGGTGTGGGGGCATGGGGCACAGCCTGGGTGCTCCAGGCAGGGAGGCAATCAGCTGGCTTGGCTGTTCCTGAGGGGGAAGTAGCCTGGTGCTGGCCGTGGCTGTAGGCCCCACAGGATGGGTCCCAGCCTTCAAAAGCTGGTGCCCAAACAAGGCTTCCCATCACAGGCCGGCAGGTGAGACCTAGGTCTCCGCCATGGTGCAGAAAAGGCTCTGTTCTTGCCACACAAGCAGCAAAACCATCTTAAATGGGGGTGTAGGGCTCTCTGGGAGCCATTGCTGGCAGCCCATCCCTCATACAGCTGGACTCCTATTCAGAGTAGGATACCAGCCACCTCCCCCTCTGTCCTGAGGCTGCCAGAGCTTTGTGCACCCTCCTCCTGTCTCTGGTCTTTTCGGGTCACCTCATTGCCTCAGGGCTGTCACCTGCTCTGGTCCCCCTGAGCTAAAGCTGCTTCTCCATTCTAACATGCCGGCAAAGGCTCGCTGGTCACCACAGCAGGGCCTGGCCACAAACAATCTGTCCGGTGTCGCTGCTCAGAGCACACCCTGAAATATTGGGCAGGGAAGGCAGTTCCACATGGCAACTGAGGCACAGGCCTTGCGCTGGTGTGACATGGCCGCTGCCTGTGCGCAGAATGGGCTGGTCTCGTCGGAGCACAGCAGCTGCTCCCCACCTCCCCGGTGGTGCTGTCGTCAGCTACATACAGGCTGTGACCGAGCCACCGGGTCCCTGGCTAATCGGAGCAGCTCTGAGCAGTGGTGACCGGCTCTCATGCAGATCTTTAGCGGGGCTGCAGGATTGGCCCACACAGCGAGACCATGGCAGCTTTTGACACGGCCCAATGCTCTCCTGGGACTGGCCTCCTAGGCTAAGTCCAGATGGCAGGCTTCTTGCGCAAGGAGCTCTTTTCAGAAGAGATCTTCCGAAAGAGCATCCACACTGCAAAAGTGTCAAGCCAGCTGCTTTTTCAAGAGTCCAGATTGCCTGGACGCGGTCTCACATGTAAGCAGTAATTACTATGGACGGAGTGGCCACCAGAGCACCCATGCTTTTCCCTCTTCCAGAAAACCTCCCTCTTTCCCATCCATGCACACCTTTTTGTGAAAGAGCTCTTCTGCAAAAAGGCATTCTTCACTGAATGAGGATTACCAAAACCCCTCTGAAAAAATGCAATTGCAGTGTGGACATTCCTCAAGTTTTTTGGCAAGTCCATTTTTCTGACAACTCTGTAGTGTAGACACAAAGTCCATTTTTTTGACAACTCTGTAGTGTAGACACACCCCCAGGGTCCAGCCTGCTAAGCCCAGGTGCAGACTAAAGGAGGCAGAAGGAGCCTACGTCTGGTCTCAGGCTGCTGCAGCAAAGAAGGAAGATTCCAATTCTACAGGTGGGCAGGAGCAGTTTTTAGTCACTTGCTGGACTTGAGTGGTTGCAGGGGGTAACTTGTTGTGTTCTACTGAGTTAAATGGAACCTGAACAGGCCTCGGGGACCATCCCTTCCCTCAGCAAATGCCGATTTAGCCATTCCCCAGGGGAGTCTGACTGCTGGGAAGCCATAGTCTCAGCAGCATCTGGCGGGCTCCTGCCTTCACAGAACTTTATATTGGAAAAGGTATTTGGTCTCTAGGTATCTGCTAGTCAACCAGCTGCCCAGGTAATAGCTTGAGGTTCCGCGTACCATCTAACGAAATGGTGCAAGCGCTGCTTGCCCAGTGGCTAGTTCCTAGATGCCTGGCTCGGTGACCCAGGGCTTCCAGACAGTGACATGAGGCCACGAGGTGCAAGTGCAGAACTTCATGGGCTGCCTCCTTGGCGCTAATGATCTGTCTTCTGTGTAGGGGAGAAGCGAGGGGATTGTGTGGCATGGACTGCCAGGATGGCCCTGGTGCATAGATCCAGAGCCCTTCAAAAGGTGTGTAGACTGGTAATGTCCTGAAGGTGTCAGGCCCTCCTAGCTGCTACAGAAACTGGCTATTCAACTTAGGCTTGCTCTGTTTGGTCTGCCCCATCGAGGAATGGAGGCAAGAGCTTTCCTCAGACACTGGGGGAGGGCCCCTCCCCAAACTCTTCCTCAGAAGAGGAGGGGGTGTGAAGTCCTCTTGTGCAACAAAGGCTTGACTGGCCTCTGTGGCAGGCAGTTCATGGCTAGAGTAGGACATCATGGCTTGACAAAGCCCTGGCTGGGTTGATTTAGTTGGATGTTCCTGCCTTGGGCAGGGGGTTGGACTTGCTGACCTTGAGGTAGCGAAAGCCTCCTGCTGCTAGGCTACAACCCATCCCACTAGTATCTTGCCCCCGTCTTGGGTTTGCTTTGTCCTGCCTCCCCCTCCTGCCCTCGCCCCCCAAGCTGGCCGGTCACAGGCACTTGGATAGGGGTGTGCTCCAGTGGCTTCGAAAGCATCAGGTGTCGGGTGGTGCTACCTAAGCCAAGTGGGTCTGGGGCCCGAGGAGATGGAGACTCTGCTCACTGCCCATCCTGTTCTCATGCTGCCTGGACACAGCTGGAACCTCTAGGAGGGGACACAAATGTCACCTGCGTGTGTTGGCCCTTTTTTCCAAACTAAGCTGGCAAGGAAGTGCCAGAGCAGGGGCAAAATGGCTCCTTGGAACTGAAGCCGAGGGAGTGCCCATGTTCTCGCCTCCAGACCTCGCCACTCCCTGGGGAGCTGGCACTGCAGCAGCCTGGCTGAGATGCTTTAGTTGGTGATCATGACACTTGGGTACCCTGGGCTTCATGTAGCTTGTTAGGACTGTGTCCTCGGCTCCCCGGGCTGGGAGGGAAGGGTCGAGTGGGCAGAAGGGCTTGTTGCAATGCTAGCTCTGACCGATGAGCAGAAAGGTGGAAAAGTGCACCTCCCTGCCAACATAGCAAAGGTGCAGTGCAGCCAGTCCAGCGACGAGTGGGACTGGATAAGAAAACCAGGGTTGTGCATGGGGGGGAGAGGAGGCCATGAGGTCCTATCGCAGCTCTGCTCCAACTGATCCTCCCTCACCAACTCTCCAAGGCCAGACACAAATGGTGCAGTGGCCGCTTGGTCCTGGATCTTTCAATGCCCAATATAAGGAGAGGGAGGTGGGACATCCCTGGCCCATAAACAAGATCTGGGAGGTGCCACTGCTACAGTCTCATGAGACCGTCACCAAATCGGAATGGATGATTGGCAGTTGGCGCATGGGCACTGAGACAGGACTCTCCGAGCTGACACACGTGGTCGCTACAGTCGCTTTCCCTTTGACTCTGGCCACAGGAGAAAAATCTCTCATCTGCAGGTGATTCAGAATAATTGTCCTCCCCTTTCTCCTCCCCTCCCCCAATCTAAACACCTTTCACCCAGGGAAGGATGCACTGAGCTTGAAGCCCCACGCTAATCCTGTACCCACCTAGTGGCTAATATGCCCCTTGAGCAAGGCTTCCCTTCCCAGTGGGATTAGAGCCCAGGTGTCTACAGCAGACAAGCCATGGCCACTCCAGTCTCCTAGTGACCAGGGCGCCATCTTGAATTTTGGTTGGAGGGGGCACCTCTAACCATGGCTCCCCAGGAGCTACTTAGACACTTAAACTCTGGCAGATAATTTAGCAGCTAGCTGGCAGGAGCCCTGTATGCAATTCCTATATTAAACTATTGGACTCAGTCAGCTCTAATGACCTGTTATGACCGGTCGTAAGTGGTCATGCTGGGTCAGACCAAAAGTCTGTCCAGCCCAGTATCCCATCTCCTGAGTGGCCTGTGCCAGGTGCCCCAGAGGGAATGAACAGAAACAGGGAATCCATTCCCACCTTCTGACAGGCTTGGGACACCCGCCCTGCCCATCCTGGCTAGTTGCCACTAATGGGCCTTGCCTCCATGAACTGATCTAGTTTTTGCTGAACCCCGTTGGTCTTGGCCTTCAGCATCTTATGGAAAAGAGTTCCCGGAGGGATGTTAATGAGTGTAAACATGTAACCACAGAAATGTAGTGGTTACATATTCCTGTGGGGGAGGGCGTGGGAGCTGGCTTTTAAGCTGGCTCTCCAGGAACACCAGCTCATGGTCTTCCCCTGCCCCCTCTGTCCTGCTGCCTCTGTATCAGAGGCAGCATGGCAGGTGGCTCTGCAGGAGCCCGCATGTGCAGGGAACCAGCATCCTGGCTTGGGGAGCTGGGGCCCCTGCATGGAATGGAGAGTTAAGTGATGAGTCGTTGTCAGTGTACTAGAGTACATGGTTAACCTGTGGAATTTGGGGATGACTGTGTTGTGTGAAGAAATACTTCCTGCCTATTAATGTCACTTGGTGACCCCTAGTTGTGTTATGGGAAGAAGTAAATTCTTCGTTCACTCTGTCATTTTATGGGCTGCTCTCATATTCTCAGCTGGAAAGTCCCTGTCATACTCTCTCCTCATAGGGCAGTTGTCCATACTGCTAGTCACTCTTATTGC